CAGCAATAGCCATGCTTAGGAATGGCATTGCCAGGTCGGGGGAGTGCCAGGATTGCTGTCTGCTCCATGCTCAGACTCCTTGGGTGTGACTGATGCCACGTAGGGGTTATGCCAAGACTCCAGGACCAATGTAGGAGAAGCCTAGTTGAAGGTCAATGTTTTCCCATTGTATCATTAACATTTTGACCACTGTTTTGGTGTTTCTAATGTTCCTTCCACACCGCAGTGAATTTTGTCTTGCCCCTTCTTCCACTTTGGAGACCCCTGCGTTCGACTGGGGTCATTGAGTGAAGTCATTGCCATCCTGATTTAAAAACAAAAAGGGGCAAGCATTTGGCATAAATGGTGAAGAGGCCATTTGAGATGCACCCATCCCATGATCATAGTGCCTGGGTTGTAAAGGACACCCCAGGAGGTGGCAGCTGCCCATGTAGTTGGGTCCCTGCTGCTGCTGCCGGAGACCTGGACTCTCTCCCTAGCGTCAGGTGTTGATCCTGCTGTGGTGGGCATCTGGGGAAGGATCAAGCAGGTGGGAGATCTCTGTTCCTGTCTCTATTTCTATCTCTGTCTCTTTCTCTTTGCCTTTTGAGTAAATGAGATCATTAAAAATTTAAACAGACTTCTTGCAGACACTTGCCATAGGGTTTGGGGAGCTCTACGTTGTCATAGCTTTGACCCCTCTTCCCTGCCCCAAAGAAAGCCAAATAAAGACCTAAAGACATTTTTTTCCAAACCCTTTTGGCTTGCAAACTAGCAAAGATTGTGAACACTCCATGGTCGTGTCGATTAACATAATAATTACTAACCATGAAGGCCTGCTAAATCCTCTATGTCAGATAATTGCATTACCCATCTCTCGCTTTTCATTCAACAAAGTTTTCTTTTTCTTTAGACAACAACATATAATGCGCTAAGCATCTAGCTAATTGCTGAGGTTTCAAAGATGAATTGAACTTGTTCTACACCCTCCAGGCACTAACCAGCTAGTGGAGGAAGCCAAACAAATAATCGCATCAAAGTGATAAGTGCTATAATAGAGGTACATCGGTTGCTATGGGAGCAGAGGAGGACAAGAAGTTCCTCTGCCTGGGGAGGGCTGAGAGGACCACTGGACGACTGAGGGGTTGGAGTTCAGTCCTGGAGCTGTGCGTCAGGGGCCTGCAGGTTGCTCAGAGGGAGGTAGGATACATTTTGAAAAGTTTATGGCAAATGGGATTAAGAGGTAGGTTTATTTTAAGTGGGAAAAATGTTGAAATTCCAAACATCTTTTTTGATTTCCTAATGTGTATTTTCAATGAACTTGATGAAGCTCCCGTAGACACAGGCTTCAGCGGGGCTTTTGTTGTTTTGTATGCAAACTTTGAATTCCATTTTTCTACATTTTTAAGCCCCCTAATACAGATCCATCTGTCTCCTTGGGGTCCCACAGGTTTCCTTTTCCCAGAATGTAGGGATTTGGAAGGTATTAACACTTCTGGTAGAGATCTGTGTCTATATGGCCTTGCAAGATGTGTTAAGATGTTTGAAATGTACCTTACAATGGATTGGGAATAGACAGTCTTTTCAGCTAGGAAGTGGCACAATCAGAAGAATAAAGCAGTATATTGGAGGGATGGCCAAATCTATTGAGAATACTCACTGGCAAAAGAAAGAGAGAGAGCAGAGTGCTTATTTCTGTAATAAATTTACGTGCTAATTCTAAACTCTTCCCTAAATTGAATGCCAGCTGATCCAATCTGACCAGGTGTAGATTCTCTTCATAAAAAAAAAAAGACAGTACTGATTTCCTAAGACGGTCTTACCTGTTCCTGTTGGAAACTGGGCGACATGAACAATCTATTAGGGCAAGCCACTTCCTAAGTTTGAGCCTAAATTTTTTTTTTTCTTACAAGAAAAAGTAGTGCAGTTTAATATCAACCCCAGTATCTATTCAGAATGGCAGCCAAAGCAGACTTATATAAGAAGTAATAGTGACCAGATACGGAGGGGGAAAAAAAAGATTTCTAACTCTTGGTACCAAACTAGAAAAAGTGAGCTGAGACAACACATTAGGACTCATCAAAGTTCAACACAGACACACACACACACACACACACACACACACACACACACACACTTCATGTGTGTGTGCTACCCACGGCAGCCTCTTGTGGTCCATTTAGCCGCCAACCAAATTTGTCTTTGGGTGATTTTCTGCAAAAAAAAAAACAAAAGAAGTCATTTTCTCCTACAGCAATTGTTCAATTTTGCTTTCTTTCACAGATGCAGCTCCTGGCCCCATGTCTTGCCATCATTTCCTGCTCCCAAGCAAACGGCGCTGCCTTTTCATTCTCCTGAGGTTGCACTGTGCCTGCTTTCTGACAATGCAAGCTCCAGGCGTGAGGATTCTGCAGCAGAAAGACCTGAAGGGGACAAGGTAAGGTTTTCTTACACCTGCATGAGCGGGGGGAAGGAGATGCAATGCGTCCATTTCATCTCTGCTCCTAATAATGGAGGTTATTTAGTTCGTCCACTTGTGTGTATAATACGTGGATACCTACACCCCCCCCCCAGTACTGCATCAAAATTTCATGTGAGCAGAATATACACGTGTAGCAAAGGGAATGTTTCCTGCTTCCTTTTCCCGCTGAGAAAATGCCAGAAGAAATGGCCGGTGTTTTCTCCCAGCATCTTCTGATGTTCTTTTTTTTTTTTTTTAAATGCGGTTATGGCAGGTGGAACTGGAAACTTTGGGGCATAAGGACACTTATTTGTAAGGGAACAAAGCATCAAGTTGTAAAAATTGGCATGCGAGGCTGGCGTGACTTAGAAATAAATTAGGCCCTGAGAAACCTACAGCTGACATGACTTAACGCCTTAAGCATGGCCATTAGGTTAGAAACCTAGGTTACCAGGTTAGCTTGTTAGTTGCAACTTGGAGGGGTTTAGAAATGAATGTTGGTGGAGTACGTTTGTCATTGTTATTCTTGTTTTAGATTTTTCCCGGTATGGGAAGGATTTGCCGGTTAAAGGCTAGAATGGCATTACCCTCAGGCAGAAAAAACCAAGTTCTTAAACCAATTCTCTGGGGGCATCTTCCGCGTCTCTCAGATGTCTTTGCTTGTTGCCCGAGGTTCATTCTGGGGGTCCGCAGGAAAATGAAGAGGCTCAAGTTAAGCGAGGAACAAGAAGGTAGACAACCACAGCATGGGTGACCACCAGTCTTGCTAGCCACGGCAAAAAATAGATGCCCTGGCAGGCGCTGCTTGAGCCCGCAGTAGGCCGGGGAGTGATGTCCCTTAATGACCACCTGCAGTATTTGTTCTTTCCACCTCTGCTTCAAGTTACCAGTTAAGCAGCCTCTCGCCCATACGCATCCTAAAATGGTATTTCAGACCCAATTGCTCAACTAGGGTCAATCTTGCAACACTAAAATGGCCTAGAAATAAGATTTTATTCTGGGAGGGGGGGCGGGGGGAAGAAAAAGCTTTGAATGCCTAATTTAAGCCATCACATGACAAAAATATGGGCTAAATCGTCCTTTTCATAAACACCAGTTCACGGGCGCAGTTTCCTAAGAGCCAAGCACCTTACATTAATATGAATCTATCGTTATAGACCCTTGATTTAAAAAAACAAAAAACTCCTAACATTCTTTCACGCTATCTAAAACTGAAAATAAAATGGTCTCACCCAACACGGACCCATGTGTGAGCTGGGCGGAAAGGGAAACGGCAGAGGTCTCCCACCTGGGATGAACCAGCTGGTCAGCCTTTGCTGCCTTAATTGACCTTAAATGTGGAGTGGGAGAAGAGAGGCTGAGGTGGCCCTGGCATGGCGGCAGGTAGTCCCGTTCTTTACTCCTTGACAGATTCCACGCCTCAGCCACACCCCGCCCTGCCCCCTCGGAGTTGGCAGCTCCACCTTGGCTGGACTTGGCTGCTGGAAGCTGACAGGTGAGGGAGGGGCGCCCGCCGCTGCCTGAGCCGCCAAGACCACAAAGGGGTCAGGACACGTTCATTGCTTTCCGGGGGGGGGGGACCTCCCAGCTGTTTCTCCCTCGCTGGCATGGCATCGAAGAAGGGACAGAATTAGCGCTTTGAGCCAGCCTCGCTGGGAGAGGAGGGTAGGAGGGAGGAGGGAAGAAGTGAGGGAGCCGGCAGAGAGAGCAGATTAGCAAATGAAAAGTTTCAGCCAGCTCCACACTGCCCGTTTGCTTCGGAGTCAACCCGATGCCACCGACAGCTTTTGGGTGTCTCTCGCGGCCCTCCTCCCCTCCTGACCCCCACCTGCCTTTTATTTTATTTTATTTTTTTAAACCTCCCCCCTCCCCTGCAGGCTCTTGCACTGGCAAACGCAGAGGCACTGTTAAAAATTCTAGCACCTTCTCCGCATATCCCACCCAACTACTACGCGCCGTTACTACGGCTGCTCTCCCTTTTGGCTTCGCCGCTTTCCTCCAATCCCTCCCCGCACACCCCTAACCCGGGGAGGACACCCGGACCCCGCACCCCATTCGCCCTGCACCGGCTATAAGGGGCGCCCGACTCCAGCAGGGTTTGCGTCCTGCGCAGTTTCTGGGCTCCAGGCCAGCAAAGCCCGGAGGTGCCTTGCAGACAGGCAAGGCACGGGGGCGCACACACACACACGCTCGCGCGCGTGCACACACACACACACACACACACACACACACGGATCCACGCATACAGTAAGCTGTCTCTCGCTGCACATTCTTGCACACCGCCCTCCCATCCTCGGTCCTCCCTCCTCCCCGCCCCCCTACCCCGTCTTTCCCCCTCCCCACCCCCGAGCTCCCGGAGTCGCTGAGCGGGGCCGAGTGACAGGCGCGTCCCGCCAACCCGAGCCCGGCCGGGCAGGGAGGAGCGGCGCGCGGGGCCAACTGCGGCGCGTCTTCCGGAGGCGGCGAGGGTGGGTCGCGGGGCGGAGCCCGAGTTTAGGAAGAGGAGGGGACGGCTGTCATCAATGAAGTCATATTCATAATCTAGTCCACCTCTCTCTCTCTCTCTCGCTGACTGCGTTGCTGTACTCGGGGGTGACTCAGAGCGCGGAGAGATTGCAGCCGGCACACTCCTCGCGAGCAAGGTAAATAGAACTTACAGCTCTCTCCTTCTTCTCCTCCTCCCTCCGGCCTCCCGTCGCAATCGCCCCGGCGCGCAAACGGACCCCTCCAGGCACCGCGCCGCCCACGTCGGGCGGTCGGTCATTATCACCCATAATGATTCTGTATTGTGGCATGCACGGGACCAAAACAAACAGGCGGGCAACCGTCACAATCCTTTAGGGCGAGAGAGAGAAAGAGAGAGAGAAAGAGAGAGAGAGAGAAAAGAGCCCGCCTCTTCCTCTCGGGCCTCAGGTGGAATTGGTTTACCCTCAGCTCCCGGGCGGCTGGGGGGGGGGGGGGGGGGGGGGGAGGAAAGAGAGCAGAAAGTTTCAGGCGAACCTTGTTGTTCTAATAATAACAGCAATAACGACTACTCTAAGGGGAGGGAGGGAGGGGGAGGGCGAGGAGGGGAAATCGCAGCAGGTCACAGCCTTGACCCTGGGTCTGTAGCCAAGGATGCGCTGCCAACTGAAGGTTGCAACACGCGCGCGCACACGCTTTTGGCCAGGTGGCCGTGCCCCCATCCCTTTTTTTACACAACGGGGGTTTGGGGGCGGGGGGTTGGGCTGGGGCTGAGAACCGGGAGGGGGAGCGTTCTGGCCGAACAGTTCTCTCCGAAAGAGTTGGAAGGCGGCCTGGTGTTGAGGGGTGGGGGAGGCGGGGAGGTGGAAGGAGGGCGAGGAGCCCCGGGGCGGGCGAGCGGCTGGCTGGCACTCGCTGCCCCGGGGATTTGTTTAAAGGGCTGCGGCACCGGCGAAGCAATCGCAGCTGCGAGGAAGCCCGGGGTTGGCACTCCGAAGAGGCTGCAGCCACTGCCAGTGGGGCTGGGTGCGTGCGTGCTTGGCTCGGTGGTGTCACCTCCACTTTCCACGTCCCCCCCCTGTGGCGGGGGGACGGGTCAGCAGGCCTGTAAAGCAAAAGGACTTGTCCGGAGGGGAGTCCAGCTTGTCTCCTGGGGTGCCTGGAGGTCCGGGGATTCCAGCACTTAAGTTCCGCTCCTCCGGCTGCAGAGACTCCGTGCTGTTGGAACCGGGGAACTAAATAAGGTCCCCAAAGAAGGAGATCGGAGGTGCCTGGCAGACTCCTCAATGTTGCTCTCCCCTTCTCCACCCCCTCCTCCTCCTCCCGTTCCCCGGATCTGTTTTCTTGAGCTTTGCGGCTGATTGCCGCAGGAGCCGCGGCCGTGGGGCACCAGGGATGTTCCGGATCTTTAGGGGCGCGCTGGGACCCGGGAGAGTCACCGCGTCGGCTTCGGGCTGGGAAGGCGGCCATCCACATAATCCTCTCTGCCTGACTGTCACAAACAGGACCCCGTGCACACCCGGGCCAGCGGCGGTGGCGTCCGCCAGGAAAGGGGAAGGGCTGCGGTGGGAAGGATATGGAGCTGGGCGGGCGGGTGACGAGGGTGGGAGGCGGGGAGACGCGCACCCCTTCCTTCTCGCTCCCCTGTTTTCGAGTTTGCCTCATTCCCATCCCAGCCTGGTTTTATGCGCTGCTTCTGTTCTCCCTTCATACCCTCCCCCAGATCCGGCCGTCTTGCCTATTCCCCTGTGCCTTATAAAAACACGGCCATGCCATCCGCAAAGGTGTCGGGATGCGTTTCCCCAAATATACAGATCTCCAGCCCCTGGGTACCCTCTGACCAGCAGGCGCACACTGAGCCGAGCTGCAACTCGGATACCCGGCGTCAGGCCTCGCTTCCCCCCACACCCCCGCCCCACGACCTGGCACAGTTGCCCAGCACGGGGCAGGGCGGGGTGCAGCCTTGCTGGGCTCCAGGGACACCAGCACCGAGACGTGGGTCACTCGTGCCGGTTTCCGGTACCCGCAGGGGAAATCGGCTCCTGCCAGTGTGTGCACGCTTGCCCCCGCCTCCGCTCCGATTGCATTGTTATTGTTATTATTATTATTACTCCGGGTTGCCGCTGGCTGTGGATGGTGTTGAGCGCAGCGGTGGCTGGAGGGACTGCTGCAGGAGGTGGGTGGGTGGGTGGGGGAGTGTGGAGAAGGAGGGAAGTTGGATGTGGATCAGGAAGAGGAAAAAAAAAAGTTTGGCCGGGCTCCTAAGTGGGGTGGAGGGCTGGGAGGGGGTCTGCGAGAGTGTGAGTGTGTGTGTGTGTGTGTGTGTGTCCTGAGCAAGCGCCAAGCCAGCGCCTCCCCGGGAGCCCCTTGGAGGACCGGGGAGGGCTGGTGGCTAGAGCTGGCGGGGACGGCGCGTTCCAGGGGCTGTGTGTGTGTGTGTGTGTGTGTGTGTGTGTGTGTGTGCGCGCGCGAGCGGCAGGGAATCAGGAAGTCACAGCAGCGAAGCGCACACAGACATATTTGATTGCCGTGACATGACGCGCGCGAGGGAGGAAGCGGCAGCAGCCGTGGCTGGAGGCGGGCCGCGGGCTCCGTTACCGGCCTAGGACTGGCAACACCGCCGAGACTCGCTCCCTGCCGGTCCTCGGTGCAGCCTGGTCTCGCTCCACGGGTCCCGTGCCTCGCCCCACCCCCGCCCCCTTTTTGTTCTGCGTCCCCCAGGTAAGGAGCCTGCGCCTGGGTCTCCTCCTCTTCCACCTCCTCCTCCTCCTTCGCCGCCGCTGCTGCTGCTGCCAGGGCGACCCGGCTACATGCCGCGCGTCCTCTTGATCTCCCGTCTCCCGCGGAAGAGCAGGCAGGGCAAAAGGACCCTCCGGTCAAGGTGTGAAAAACTTTCCAGCGGCCCACAGGGTGGAGGTGGCTGGGAGGGATTAGAGAGGTGGAGAAGGCGGCTGATCAGGTCCTCCGGCCCTCCACCCCAGGTCCCGTGTAGTGTGCGTGCGCCCTGCGGCTGTTGCACATTGCAACTTTGGGCCTAAACGTTGCCTGCAAAGTCTCGCCGGGTTTACGGTGACATTCAAGAGCCAGAGTGGTCCATGCGATCTAACAGGCTTTAGGATCTTTCTCGAGGGAGGTTTGGGAGTGGGGGGGGGGGGGCAGAATCCGATTCTTATTCCGCGTCTGCACCGGGTGGTTACATAATGTCAGTAGCACATGGGTACACTCGGAGCCCATAACTGGGCTGCTCCTTGCCTTTGTTTATGTAACTTTTGGAAGACTTTTTTCATGGTTGATGCCTTTTGTCCCTCCTCCTGAAGCCCTGGGGATTGGAGCTTTGAGGGCGATGAAGCACAGCCACCGGGAGTTAATGATTTTTTTTTTTTCCCGTTGTTTTTGGAGAGGTCTCACTTTTGTCTCCTTTCTGGTCCTTGGAGTATTCCTTTGTACGTGTCCCGTTAGAGCTAAGGAAGGCGTCTTGCACTGAGTGGTTACTTATAAAGCTCTCCTGATACTGGAGTGAAATCTCACATTGCCATTTCAAAGGATTGGGGCGGGGTGGGGGGGGGCGGAGTACTTACATTTGATTTCCGTGTCTGGTTTCCAGAAACAGCGAGAGCCTCCTCTCCTGGAGCAAGGAGCAGAAAATTCCTATCCAACCACACGGCACGGTGTGAGCTCCAGGAAGAGAAAAGCCGTGTGCAGAGGGCCGCTGACACGCACACTCAGATGTTGGTAGCAATCTTTGCCATCAGATATTCCAGGGAAAGGGGCGGGGGGCCTGGCACCCCTCTCCCCAGAGCTTCCAGGCCCAGGCTGAACCCCTGGAAGCTTCCAGGCTACTCCTGGAAGGCTCGGGTTTTGCTTAGGAGGTGTGGCGGGTTTGACACCTAGGTCGTGCATTGTCATGCAAATGAGACACTTTTGCTAATAGGAATCGGATTGTCCTTTTCTCCTTCTCATCTTTTGTTCTCTCTCTCTCTCTCTCTCTCTCTTAAACCTGCTCTCTGACAACTCAGATGTTGGCTCTTGAGAACAGCCTGCTTGGAAACACCTGTTAGGTCCATGAGATTCAAGTAGGCCAAGGAAAAAAAAAAAACAACTCCCGCCCCCACACCCCCAGGAGGATTTAAGAGAGGAGTTGAATATTGATAAAGAACACTTTATCATCAATCAGGAGTCTGTGGTCTGGGGGACCTTGGGGGGGCCAGGCAGGCAGAACTTATTTCTGTGTAGCCTTGCGCTCCCGGAGTTAAACCAGTCACATCCCCGCTGGCTTGCACAGAAAACACACACTACAAGACCTTGTTCAAAGCAGTCTCAGATCTCTGCTTTTATTCATTTTAAAAGTGTTTTTTTTTTTTCCCCCTGAGCATTTCTCATCAAGTTTCTTGAAAAGTGCTTTGACCAACACCTGAAGCTTAGAACTGACCAAAAAAAAGTAGCTCTGTCTGTTACATTGTTAATCCTTGGATTCTTCTGTTTAAAGGATTCCTGACACAACATAACTAAGAAAGGGACACTTTTGGCAGATTATTTTTTATAACTTTTTGCTTTTGATTATGCCCTCAGTCATTTTTTTTTTCCCCCTAGGAGACACCTGTGTTACTCCTTGTAGTCCCTGTGGTATTTTGACATTGCGTTTTAAAAGCTTATTGTATGTAGCAGCGAGGAAGGACCTTCCCTGAATTATATAAGTGGGTACTGTGCTCCAGTGTTTGTGTTTGTTTGCCCTCCCCACCCCCTTTTAGAAGCCTTCCTTTGTAAACAAGTCCTTTGTCAGAGTCCCCTAGGTCAGCAAGTTTGGGTTACTGAGACCTGAGCGACATACCCAGTGGTCACCACTCAAGTGTGGATGACTGCTTGCCAAGGCAGCCTTCGCAAGCTGGCAGAGGGAGCCTTGCTAAGGACCTGCTTGTACCATCCCAACTTTGATGCCTACCGTGTCTGGCCTGTGTGATGTCTAGGCAATGCAGTTAACTAGATGTTAGTTGCTGAACCTGTGTGACCTTAGACAACCCCCTTAGCAACCACCCTTCTTCTCGCTCGGAGTAATTCTCCTGGCCAGATGAGAAAAATTCCCCTGCTAGCAAGACACCGTACTCTGGTGTCTTCTGGCAGAAGGATCGGCTTCTAAAATTGATCCCTTTATCCTAAATGTTGTATTTGACAGCTTTGCTTT